AAAGGAGAGTGTATTATCAACTTAAATACCATTCTGGGCACATGAGACTTGATCCTGCTGGGGATCTTGAAGCTAAAGTTAAAATACACCACAGTATTACCCCTCTCAAGGGTGCAGAAGATGGAGTCTGACATGCTCTCTCATCAATCCTTTGTTAAAGCTAGACTGGAAAAGTGGACGGGGAGTAGTGAACATTAACTCCCAGGTATTTCAAATCAATTTAGGGGTGTCAGCAAGAGAAAGCCTCAGGAAGTGCAAATACAGGGAGGTGAAAGTCAGTCTGTGTGCACTTACAAGAAAGAGCAAGGGGACAAAGTAGAGCACCGACAGTGCTGCATCACAGTGCAAGACTGTGTTTTTTATAATGTTTCCCAGGTGACACTGATCAGTCTGGTTTAGGAATTTATAATATGAAAGGTTATAAAGATGATGAAAACACATCTGTGCCTCGGATATATAAAATCTTGTGGAGCAAAAGTTCTTTAAGTAACCATTATAGAAAAAATAAGTATCTTAAGAGAAGTACTTATTACAGTACATTTTAACACTTTGTAAACTCATCTAACTCTGGCACTGAAAAAAGTGTCTCAAGGAAAGAGACTATTCAACTAATAATACATACTCCTCAAATACTAGCTGCCTTTGTTTTTTAATCTTCAATCTAATAAAAAATAAAGGTTATGCTTTAAATGTTTCATAGTTTTACTAAACTGTAGACTCAACAAAAAGGTAAACATTTTTTAAAAGCAAATCTGTTAATTCATAGGATGAATATATTAAATTTTTGTCCAAAACATTTATTCCAAATTCTGTAAAAAAGCCACAGATAATGTAAAATGTATCTTTTGTCTACGAAAAATGAAGTGAAAGCTATTGTGAGAAAATGCAATTTGTCTATAAATAAAGTATACAGATGTAATAGGTTTATTTTTAATTAGCATAGATGGAATACCAATAATTAACGAAGAGGAAAAAAACCTATCTCACAACACTATCAACTCTTCTAATGACTATCATATAAACGGATGGAGTTCCTTTTTTATTAGTTCTCATTTTTAAAAAGTACTTTAGTAGCTGTAATTGGTGAGCAAAAACACTTATCAGCACGTGGTAGTTTTAGGTCCTTAAAATGGGTGGATAAATGGATTCCAGGGACACAAGATTTTTCTGAAGACCCTCTTCCCTGTTCACTCCCTACAAAATTTGGTTCGCTTCTCACAAACCTTGCCATCAGCATTTTATAAACGACAACATAAAAATAGGCATCAGGATTGGGGGGGGGGGGTCTTCCACATGGAATTAAACTCAAGGACAACCTAATGAGCAACCTACTTTAGAATTATAAATGACCTTAGAAATGAATAAGCCAAATACCTAACCATCTGTAAGGAGGACAATGACACCAGGAAATTTTAAGTAAGCTGGTTTAAAAAAAAAAATCAGTGGGATGACGTCACTTCTCTGCTCCAAACCTTCCGAAGGCTTCCCACCCACCTCTGTGGAATTTATTGCATTTAAACCCCGTCCCAAACGCACACCCCATTCCCTCTTTCTCCTCCCTCTGCCCACTATGATCCAGCTACACCGGCTGGAGGACCCCAGAAGCTGCGCACACTCCTGCCTCCAAGACTTTGTGCTTGCTGTTCCCTCCACCCGTTCCCTCTGCCCCGCGTCTGTACCCGGGTTTTCTCGCTCCATCTGGGACTGGTCTGGGCTCAGACGACATTCTCAGCCAGCCTATCCACGTTTACCGGCACGACCTTCGTCCCCACCCCCCTTTTCCCCTTCACTGTTTTATTGTTCCCCACAGCAGCCGTCACCTCCATCGGCGGCGGGGCCAACGCCG